TTTGCAACTTTAACATTTGTATTCCTACAATACTGCATATGAGTTTCAGACACACACACACAAAAAAATCACAACTAACAGGTGAGAAAATGTCCCCTAATTTAGAGAATAAAAATATTTATGCTTGTTAATGCTACCGAGATGAAGCAAAGCAAGCGGGAGGGACACGTAATGAAGCCGTCCACCTCTGGCTGGTGACAGCTATAAGCAGCGAGCGTTCAGGCAGAGAAACTCCCACCTGCACCGCAGAATCAAACACACTATTCTAACAATGTAGCTCTGTCGAGCCCGAACATCGAGCGTGACTGGAGTCACAAATGGACTGACAAAATAACAAACACGCATAGTGAGTTACTGCCCTGCCCTCTATTAGGGGACACAATGAGTGTGTAAGGGGATCCTAATGAAGGACTCCCCTGAGGCAAAGCCTGATGCCTCTGCTGAGGACCAGTACTGTTAGAGSTCATTAAATGAACATGAGTCCTATCACTAGCATGGTGTGTGTGTGTGGTGTGTGTGTGTGTGGTGTTCGGTTACAATGCCAGCTTTAGCCGTCTGCGTCATGTCACATGCTCCTTTGCATCATTTTATTTAGCGAGTGCACCTCCGTCAGCCCTTACACCATCACATTTTACAAAGTTTCTTTGGTTTTTCAACACTGGAAATCACAAACTGTGACTTCTCCTAAAGCAAACAAAGACGGGTCATTTAAACAAGAACGATGTTCTGGAATGAAGAGATTTAAAGTTTAAAAAGCGCAGAGCAGGAGGAGAGACAGAGGAGTCGTTAAGACACAGAAAAACAACGGGACAACGTGGAAAAAATAAAACACAAATTCAGAAAAGTTGAGAAAAATACAGAAGAGGAGCTGCGTCAAATGTGATGAAACAGCGCCTTCTTGTGGATTAAAATGGGAGTGCTTCACGCTTGTAAAAGGCCAAGAATTCAGCACAACAGTTTCAGCACAGTTTGCATTTTTTGACTTGACAGAGTAGGCAAAGTGCAGGATTGTACAGGAGGGCTGCATCACATTTCTACAGCTGCAACTGCAACCTGTCCACTAAATGGAATGCAGCCCTCACCAATAAATCTTCTGCAGAAGCACCTGGTTCATTTTCAGTAAACTGTGTGGCTAGATGCCAGCACAAGACTGTTGTAACGATCTTTAACACATTAAAAAAATTAAGTAACACTGCTTTAAAAACACACACATATTGTTGGACTTACCTCTCTACCCTTGTGTGTGACCAGAGCAGCGAGGGGCTTTGCGTAGAAGCGGCTGTAGCTGAATCCCAGGCAGCCGTACATGCTGTTAGCCGTCAGCTTCAGGGCCTTCTGACGGATGTCATACTGACAAACAAAAAGATAATATTAATGTGCTTTTTAAAACTAATGCAGGATACACTGGATTTGTTTACTACAGCAAACAGGAAAACATCATGTCTGCTTTTAGTGGCACTTTAAAAACAATTTAAATGTTTAAAATGGAGCAAATTCTGAGATTTAGGAAGCTTAAACCTTCACACAGCTGGTTTTAATAATATTTTAAACTAGCTCACTAGTTTACCTTAATTAAATGTATGTTTTATTTTAAGGTGATTGTGCCTGATCCATTTTTTTATTATTATTTTAAAGCCTTTAGAGAACAATTCTTGCTTTAAAATAACTTTTTGGTCATTTAGATTTAAGGTACCTCTTGCCAATTACTAATTACTAGTACTTAATTACTTTTAGCCAGAGGTCTATAAAGTACATGAAAAAAAATAACTATGTAAAAGTAAAATTATATGAACAGAAAATGACTTTGGTAAAAATAAATTTCACTGATGAGAAAAAAAACTCAAGTAAAAGTCATAAAACTGTTCACAAAATTAGGAAAGTAAAAGTACTTTTAC